CATGTAAACAACATTTTAATATTGTACAGCTGTGGGTACTGTTTAGTTGTATAATGTATAACAATGCTACATATTTCTTAAACTGAGCATAGCTTTATGTAATACCTAAATCTGCCCTGTATCACAGCTAACAGATACACAAGGTGCAGTAAAAGTACAGTGTTTCCTTTCTGAGACGCCGTGGAGTCGAAATTTAAAATGTGCAACTATTTACAAAAACAATAGTACTGTAGTCAAGTACAATAATCACATTGTTTTAAACTTGGTATTTATCTTTTTGGATACTTTGGTGGTTCGAGGCTCTGCTCCTGCACACTGGCCAGTCCCATCATCTCCTGTGCAGCAGGGTCAGCATTCAGCACATGTATAAACTGGTTTGAACTGGATCAGTAGGGAAGATTAATACTGCTGATGTGTGTGTCTTAGGAAGTTTAGGACTCCATTTGGACCTACAGCCGAGCAGCAGCTGCCGTCGTCGGTAGGGGAAGGGCAGGTGCTTGATGTGTGCGAGGCGGCGTGCCATGGCTCTGCCCAGATGACCTGTATGGCTCAGCGTCCCCACCGTCAGGCTGTGCAGGTAAACCGGCTCCACCAGGTGGGACAGGAGGGCCCCCTGGAGGCCCATGACGCTCCACCTGTTGAGACACAGTGTGAGGGCAGTCTGAAGCCTTTTCATCTGTGAAGATTTTCACTCAGGGACAATTAAAGTTTGACCTGTGTTTGACTGTCTAGACCTCAGCAAGCTGTTACTCTGCTGCCTGAACTGAGTGAATGTGCTATGAACTGCGGCTCCAGACTTCTTGAAACAGGCCAGCTGGATGAGAGATGTGATGTTTTTTTAAACCTTACATATGGTGAGTTCCTAAACAAGAAATGAAGACTCACTGAGGCAGCGGCAGATTTTTAGCTGAAGATGGAACAGAGCCATTAAAGGTGATTCTATCTTATTCCAACTTGGTCTTATTTTCAGTTTTATTATTTTCATTGATTAAAATAAAAATATAACAGAACTGCTAGGATCACAAACAAAACAGATTAACCTACACTTATCTTCTTTTATTCTACTATTTGATGAAATACATTAAAGTTCATTATGTTTGTGCCTTTTGTGCTCTAGAGGGGAAAAACTGAAAACACAGTTTATGAAATCTCATCACACACCTTCCATGACCGACTGTAAGGATGCCGTTTACCAGTTGAACTCACTTTGCCATTTTGTCAGTGCAGGACATGCTGACAAAAGGTTTACCCAGTGAAACGCCTTCCCATCTCTGATTGGCCCTCGGTGCTGTGACAGGCAGCGTGCCCTCACCTCCGTTTACCTTCACCCTGAGGTGACAGCGAAACCTCCTGCTGGGATCTGACACAAGAGGGGTTGGATTAGGCATCACACAGCTGATTAACAACTTTAGATCCACAGGGCAAGACATTTAGAGGGCTCCAGCTCTGGGTACTACAATACTCGTATGACCTTTGAACCACCATTCACGATTCTGATGTTTTTCATTCATTCAAACAGGCCTCAGGTTGAGCTCATGGTTGGTTCTTTCCCCAGATGGAAAAACAGCCAAGTCAATCAGATATTTATAGGTGAGATAAAAAAAAAAAAAAAAAAGGGGCTATAATATTTTTTGTACCAGAATCCAAAAAAAAGAGAAACATATAAATGACAAAAGTGAAAACAAGTTGCTGTCAGTCGACGTAGGATAAGAACTCATAATCTTATCGTTTTGATCAACATGACAAAAGTTATGTTCTAAATAGCAAGGAGGAAGTGACTTAAAGATTTATTAGCTCATTGAGGAGCATCCAATCAGTAGTGGTAGCACAAGGGTTTCTGCTGTGGCTGCAGAATGATGCAAAGATTATGTTTTGTTGGAGATTAACAGACTTGTTATATTTTGCCTGCAGCTGCAAATAAGTCCAGCTCTGCTGTAGTTTAAAGTTTTCTTTTTAAATAATTTCAGGGTGTGTGAGAGATGCAGAATGTGAACAAATAACTGTGGATATATTTAGGTATTTGCATTTGGTTTGACAACAGTATTAATATGTTCGAGTCCTTTGTATTTCTCTGTACACACCAGTGTAGCCTCAGGTAAGTTGAATAATTTTTTCAGTGTAGAATTACAACAGCGGTTTGTCTACTTTTGTTGCTGCTGCAGAGAAAGTGATTTGATTCTTTTTTTGTATTATTTCTGTGTTTGGAATAAAGATTTGTTGGTCAGTTTAATTAAATGATATTTATTGTTTAAGTCTTTATTTGTTCATTGACAAGAAGAGGAAACACACACTAAGTCGCTTAATGGACCCAAAAGAACTGGTATTTACTAATTAACGTGTTTTATGGTGGCTTTAAAAATAAATGACACTCTGAGGTCGGTCTGTGCAGCAGCAAGATTATTGTATTGCTACTTTAGTAAAAGAGCCGAGTACTTCTCCCACCACTGCATACTGATAGCAGGTCCAATACTAAAATACAATTAGGTCTAAGAATTAAATGTAATCCCTGACAGTTTAAGGTACACACATGCTACACAGGGAGTGTGTGTCATGGTTTCCAGCATCATCTAAATGCATTTCCCTCACATGCAGCCGTGGTCTCATACGGGCAGTTGAGGCGAGCGTCTCCGCACGGGGACGAGCCGACGTACATGTGGAAGAGGACGCCATCCCGCAGCCAGAAGCCACTGCCGCCTTTATTTGGTACAAAGATTGACTGTTCCTCATCATCTGCTGACTTACTTCAGAGAGGAAAGAAACCAAATGTGTACATAATAAAAAATAAGAGGAAGATTCAGTCAGTCTAGGCAGAACAAAAAAAAAAAAAAAAAGAGAATTCTAAAGTATTAAATGGAACTAAAACTGTAGGATGCACATAGAACATAAGATGCTGAGAGGCATAGTGCAAAAATGTACCAATGAGTAGTGAATATCATTTTTTTAAGCTTTACTTTAGATCCTAATAGTGTAATATCAGCACATTTCTCGAAGAAGGCACAACTACCAGTCATGATTTTATAACGGCAATTAAAAACATTTTAAGGGCAAGAGTGACCTGAAAAATAGACGAGAAAACATTTTAAGAACAAGATTTGCCCCAAAAATGTCAATAACATTTTAGGGACAAGATCTGCTTGAAAACTTAACAAATAACATAAAGGGCAAGATTCACCCAATCACTGTTTGTACCAGAGCAGCAGCTCCAGCTGCGCATACAGGAATCGAACGAACGCCCTTCTGCTGATGACTTCAGCATGGCAGTCATTCAGCGTTAACCCATGGTCACTCACGTTGTCTGAGTCTAGACATTTAGTCCCTGTGGCCAGAGACACAACCTGGGCTGATCTCAGGTCAAACCCTGGAGGAAGACAAGGAGGCAGAGAATAAAAAGAAAGATGGAGGATCATTAACATCACAGAAATAGAGGAGGAACTACAGATGTTTGTAGCAGCTCAGATGTTTTGTAACTGGTTGAGCAGGACAATAATGATGACACAGTCTGCAGGATGATCTGAAAGAACTGCAGCAACACATTTTCACATAAGAGGGACTCGGAGCGTCTTTGCTTCAAATGATGAGTTCAAATAAGTGGCCAAACATTTTCATCCCTGTGTGTAAAGTGATAACCCAGGACATCTGTTGCTGCTCTCCATATTGCAGGCATGTGACAAGCTAACAATGTGGGTGCTACTGTACCATCTCTTTGTGTTTCTGCTGATAAAGTCAGAAGATGGAGGGGATCAGTCCATAGTTGGAGACCGGCTGAGCTGTGCCCACATGACACCACTAGGATACTGCTTGAAATGTTTTGATATTTGTGTGAAATCATATGTGTAGATGTGCCATCAGAATTTCGTCATAACTGGAACAGATGGAACATTATTTTGGCCTTTCGAGGTCACCGTGTCCAACCAGGGTCAAAGATCATTGTGATAAATCACACACTAACTACTTTGAGATCAGACATCACATTGGATCCTGACCAATCAGAGCTCACTGATTCCATATTTAATCACTGTATTATTTTTTCAGTGGTTTCATCCTAATTTTCATCTGAGTGATGCCTTCTCAGTGTCTGACCTCCTCTTTAATTATGAGACCTGTCACAGCTTTGACCTCCGTGCCTCCACCGCTCACCTCTGGTCATTACGATCCCAGCCAGGACTTTGTGACGGGTGTGTGAGGTAGAGAAACAACGGTCTGTCAGCTCAGTGAACTTCTCTCTCACCAGGTGGAAGATCGCCTCCGCGAAGAACTGTGGAAGAGACGGTGTTTAAGTAACATCTCTTTCTTTTTAATACCAACTCTAATTCATTCTTTCTGCTTTATATGACTTATATGTGAGATTATTGCTTATTATGAGATGTATTTATTATTCAGACAAGGGGCTGGGATCATCTATAAACCAAGGATTAGTTAGCTGCCCCATCTTCAAATTAAAATAATTATAAAATAAAGGGGGAAAAAAAAAATGTATTTTACCAACCAGCCCAGAACAAAGTCCCATAAGGTCAAATTAGTAAAGTGAACTCTCACAGATTGTTCTCTTTAATTAACAGCTCTCTCTTTGTTCCACAGGGTTTGGGCCTTGCCTTCCTTTGTTTAAGTTTAGCTACAAACAATGTAAAAAGAAACTCACTGCAAACTTCCAATAAAAGAGAACATGTTAAAAACTGTTTAAAAAAGTCATGACATGTTAAAACAAGAAGTAAATTTACAAGATTTACAAAGGCAGTTACTTCCTCTTTAAAATAATCTCTATTGACTAAAAAGTCATTAATGTTTTAATTGGCAATGTTCATACACTTTCTCTAAATGTTAGCTGGAGTTTGTCCAGCATGCTCCGTTCTGTTAAACCTATATTTACACCTGAGGGCGCGGCTACTTCCGCTGTCTTCAGACAGCAGCCTGTGAAAACACACAGGAAACAATGAAAGTCTGCAGCGAAGCACTGACAGCTGTGACATTCGCCTGGACCACGGGTACCAACTCGCCAAAAGTCTGTGACAGTCTGTCAGTGATGGCCCAGAGTTTCTCTCTCTAAACTCCCCCAGTCTGCTGAGGAAGAGATGTTGCACTACTTGTCACAGTGTGCCTAATTATTTTACAGGACTGTCATTCTGCTGCCAGGAGTTTCCATGTGCAGCAAGGATCATGGAAATGCCGGGAGAGCATCAAAACACAACAGCTGTGTGGAGACTTAAGGAGGAAAAGGGTCGCCGACGCTTTTCATGGGATAATATAAATATATCAGCTGTGCTAAATGTTCTCACAATTAACTGGACAGCTGAATATCTAGAAGACATTAAACCTACTCAGCCCATCAGCCTCGTTCCTCGGTTCAGAGGAGGCAGATGAAATATTTGTCAGTCTGAATTGAGCCCAGAAGGAGCTGCGAATAATTCATGTGTGATAAATTTATATTGGTGGTTCAACTAGACTTCCAACCATTGTCTGTTTCGCCCTCATAAATGTCCTGTTTTATGCAGCTTTAATGACTTGAGGAATAAAGATGATTTCACAATTGTGTGGGGTAGTGGGTGGAGCCTAGTGCTGATGCTGCCATTCTACTGCCACCAGGAACCATCCCACACCGTACACGGGAAATACATTGTTTGTGTATTTCGATTGTCTTAGAAGTGGAACGTGCCTCTGCCGAAACTGGGCTGAAAAGAATGATATATGGCCCTGCTCACCAGCAGGTTCCAGAACGCACCACTCCACCGCCAACCCAGCCGTCTGTCACCACAGGCTGGTTGGCAGAGAGAAAACTTGAACAACAAGAAGTGCCTCCACTGAAGAAGGAGCGCTACCATCTTTAAAAAGAAAGAAAGGAGATGGCAGCGCAGTATGAATAAAAGGAAGCCAACACAACAGCTATGTTTGCTGAATCCATGTTTGCTCTGTTGATGTCACAATGACGTACTCTGCAAAAGCAAAGTGTGCAATGGGAACACAAGCGTGTACTGGGGTCAGTAGCTGACCAGCTGGCCTGAGTACGTCGGGTCAGGGTGGCCAGGTTGGGGCACAGACTCAGATGGGTGGCACACTTGAATACATGTAAAAGTAAATTAAACCTCTAATTCTATTAAATAATAAACACGCTATTAAGAACAACTTCTTAATTTTGTGTAAAAATGAGACAGCTTTCTCTAGCTAACTTTGGCTGTGCTCCCAATTTACTCCCAACTGTGGACATCACTGCTGCACTGTTTTTATTTTGTTTTGTTTTTTTTAAACCACCAAAAATTGCTTAGAAACTGTTGAATTTTAAAACTTTCCCTCATAGAACCAAAAGTCTTCTCAGTATTACCCAGACCTGAGCTCGGTGCCTGGAACTGTCTTTCTTCAATGTGTTCTTCAGCGTGCAGGTGTTTTTCTGAGTGAAAACCTCTGCTTGACGCTTTCTGGCTGACAGTGGCACAAGGTCATGTGTAATGTGTGTGTTAAACAATTATCTGTCAGATTATTATGCTCTTCACACCGCCTTCTCGTTCCACCTCAGTCTCCTCGCTCTGCTGCTGCTCCTCCTTCATCCCTAATGTGCTGTAATAATGTTCATTAATGCGTCACACCAAAGACAGACAGTTCACACTGAAGGGAGAAATGATGCTAAATGATCAATTGGAGGGGCCGTGAAAGAATTGTCTTCCAGACAAAGAGGAGGAGGGAAGCTTCTCCTGAGCCTGCAGCAGTGTAAAAACCCCTTTTTGTTCAAATTCAGAGCAACACAATTCTTGTCTCCATCCAGACTGCGACTCTTACATCCAGCTGTCTGGGGCTTCTCTCGTCATAGCACCCTCAGGATTTAATAGAGTATCTGCATGTCTGTCTGTCTGATATTCCTTTGCATAGTTGAATGGCAGCTTGGTTTTACATCACGCTTGTTCAGCTCTGCGGAGAGAAGCCTTCTTGTGTTCATAAAGCACGACGGCAAAAGACATCCAGGATGATTCTCAGAGACATAATGAAGTTTAGATGTTACAGACGAGCACAGAGGACACCATCCAGCTCTCACGCCTCAGGACATGATGGCCACACTGATGTGTGGCACAGTCCATTTGGTAGCGTACTACACACCTCAGACCCATTTATCCAGACTGTTTTGAAGACTGGTGAAAGCTAGAGAGATAAGTGTTACTGCTCGCAGCTGATGAGCAATGCTTGTCTGCTTGTCTTCAACAAGTGAAGGACACTTACTGACACACTGGATCTTCTGCTAAAGCAAGGGAGCTCAAGCAGCAGAGTTGAGTAAACAGAGCAGAGTTCAGCGACTCTTCCTTCAAACGCTGTAAACCCTGACAGCCGTTCTCAGTGTTTTGAGCTGTTAATTGGAAACAGATGTACTCCACTTGTTTCCTGAGGAACAGACATGTCAACCAGCACAGAAGGTGGCTCACTGGTGCGTTTTTAATGGAGGCCTATGGCACAGACCAACATGCTAAACCAGGTTCTGGATTCACAAACGTTCATCAGTGGGTTTAATCTGTGTATGTTTTTGTGAATTCAGTTTGCTTCCAAATAATTTCCTAAGAAATTTCCTGAAAAGAACCACATAGTTTGGTACTAATTACAGGGAACAGATCAGATCAGTTGTTACACTTATAGTTATTTCTACATGCTCAACTAGAGCAAACCTGAGGGTTTTTTCAGAGGACAGAAGGTGTGCTACACATGCAAAGTGTGACATTTGTAGATTATGATACAATTCATAACAGCGTGTCAAAATAATAACTAGAAAGTCACTTTCGGCTTTTTCCCCTTTTAGGGGTCACCACAGCAAACCGTCACACTGACGACTCGCATGTTGACATTTGGCACGCGTTTTACTCCGGATACCCTTCCTGACGTAACCCTGAGTCGAACCCGGGCTGCAGCAGCAAGAGTGCTGCGCCTTAACCACTAGCCTACCAGTCAAATAATAACTAAATGAAGAATAAATGTTACCTGGTGTTTACATTGAGTAATTCTGGAAGCCAATAACAAACTGAACACAGCTAAGTGGACTAACTAAAAAAAAAAAAATCTGCCTCTATTTTTATGCAGTCATAACCAAACTACAAGGTTCTTTACAGGAAACTTTCAAGAAATTAAAAGGAAATGGAGGACCTCTAAAATAAAGTGATAACATTTTTGTTATTTTCCACACGTCCCATAGTCATAGGCCTCATCTTTCACACCCTAGATTATCTTTCTTTCACTGAACCACTAAGCAGCTCTGCCTTATTAACTTTCAAATGCTGCTCTTTTCTCTGTGAAGCAAAAGGCATTCACCACTCCAGATACTGTGTCGGTGTAGTATTAAAAGACTGGTGCAGAACAGGGCAAAGCTGCTCACCTGAGGTAGCTGATCTGTGGCTCTGCTGCCCTGGAGGCCCATCACCTTCCTCTCTGGTCCCAGACTTGTACAGTAAAGAGACTGCAGGGCGGCTGCTGCTGCCTGCGCCTTCGCCAGTCTTTTACTGTGCCCACAGCCTTCAAACACCCTGCCCTCCACCCTCACCACCATAACGAAGCTCCTCATGGGCCGGCCAGGAATTCGCTCTGTCAGGCATATGTACCTGAGTCCCGGTCGAAGCCTGCTGAGCAGCGCCACTGGACTGAGGTGCTCTAACAGGGAGGAGCTGAGGGCTCGTCTTTTTTCACTTGTTGAGGAGATCAAGTCCAGTGTGAGTCGAACGAGTCGTCTATGCTTGTAAATGCTGTAAAACACCTCTCGTTTTGCTGTGTTGCAGTGCAAGAGATCACAGTTTTCACACAGTGACGACTCACACTCTTTGAGGAATGCATTGGGGATGTCCAGTTTATCTGCTGTGAAGTCTGTAGGTGTGCTGGGGAAGTTCCCCGTGATAGCATGAGCCTGGGAGGAATTGGGGAACTGGATGAATGACCGGAGAGCCAACTCTGCAGCTCTCATCTTAGCCTGCTTCTTCGTTGGCCCGCGACCCTCAAAGTGGAGACCATTTACCTCCACACCTACAGAAAACACCGGAGCGTGCAGGGGGCCAGTCTTTGACATGATCTCATAGTGCAGCCCTGGCTGCAGCTCGTTCAGCTGCACCAGCGCATTCTTCTGAGTGACAGCCCAGGTGGCCCTTTTACAGGTCAGGTGGCTCTGGTAGAGCCGCTGGTCTTTTCCATCCACCAGGGGCTGCTTCCTCTTCAGGGCTCTTGGTCTGTGTCTGGGGAAAGTTGTGCAAAAAGCTGATGGATGATACTTTAGTAGTAGGTCACAGTCCACGTGGAGTTTATCATTCTGATTCTCCTTCACCTCCACACTGCTTGTACCTGTTGAAATACACGAATCATGGCAGGAAACAAGAAAACCATTAGAAAAACTTTGTTTTGTTACATTTTGTAAAGGTTTAATCATGGACAGACCTACTGGGCGCACGCCCAGGGGCCCAAACGTTTAGTCCAAACCCTTCTGTTTGAAGTGACTGTTAACATTTCTTGTGGGAAAGTCAATGAAATTACGGGAAACATGACACAAAATAACCACAAATAGATGCAGAAAGATCGCCAAGAAATGCAAAACAACTACAAAGAGGCACAAAATACAACAAAAACACAAAATCACTACAAATAAATGCAGAATGACCACAAAGAGACACATAGCAACCACATGGTCACAAAAATGATGGAAACACACACAAAATGACAACAACAAGATGGACAATGATTCAAAAACACCACAAGTCCTCAAAATACTAAAAAGACACACAGAAAGATTACAAAAAGATACAGAATGTCTCTGGAAAGAAACCCATTACTTCCTAATCTGTTAGCAGGTGAATATTAATATGTTGACAGGTCAAACATTTTCACCTGTTTCAAACATGGCTGAGCATTTCAAAATTACATGGTGGACCCACAACAAGCCCACCAACAGAATAATCATTTTCAAGTGCAAGAAGGAAAAATTATTACTTGAATTATCTGTGTCCTTGGCCATTGACGCTCCAGTTGCCCAGTGTCTTATGGGACTGATGGCGGTTGATGACATGCTGCTTGATTCTGAAAAAAACAGCAACATAAATACATGAAATCTATGAGCATTTTCAGCACAGCATGACACATTTTGTGCTTAAACTAAAAATAAGTGAAATAAGCCCAACTACCATCATAATTCTGGATGTTTATACTACATACTTTGATATTCGCTCCCAGTTGTGAAAGCAATGAAATGGACCATAACATGCGAGACCTGCTGGGCCATTAGATTCCCACTCAGTAATCGGAATGAAAGCAAACAGAAAGGCGGCTTACAGCCAGCCAGGGTAATTGAAAGGTGTCAGTGATAAGGACTGAGGTTTACAGACAGGAAGCATCGAGGGGCTTAAACCTGAATGAGAAGCTTTGTCTTATTAACCTGGTCACACAGGTCTGAATTGAGAGCGAGTGCTTTTCATTAGATTTCAGCAGATTTGAGGTGTGGTTCAAAGGTTTCATGAAAACCAGTGTTTTTCCATGTGATTGTTGTTTTTCTGTTCGGTGTATAAGAAAGAATTTTTTTTTTTTTTTTTTTTTTTCAATAGCAGCATTTTGTCACACGTAACCATGGTTTTCAACTTTATCCATCCCAGCTCTTCACTTTTCTTTTTGTGAAGCTCAGAGAGACACTGTTAATGACTGATGGAAACTAATGACAAATATTCACTGAAAAATATGATTTAGGTGATAAATATTTTTCAAAAGGAAACAAACAACATACACAGGTGGTGTGTAGGATCATAATAAGTCCAGACCCTTGTTAGGTAATTTCTCAGTTAGACAGGATATTCAGAGATTTGTTGTCTAGAAATGTTTAGTGGAGACAGGATGTCTAGCTCAGGCTGTTAAATGCTCAGTTATTTTCATGTGCTTGCAGACTCCATCTAGGCCAAGGCTAATTAAATCAGACAAAGGCTGCAGGCAAGGATGGTTGTTATTATTAACTGTAATGCTAATCTTAATATTTGTCTTAATGTGAAATGTCATGTCAAATTGTTCTTAGATACACACCACTAATCAACAGCCACACACCGTTTTTTGGTTCAGGGTCTTTCATCTTCCAAGCTGCCTGCGCGCAGGTTTGGTGGTGGGAGAGATCTGGACGTGTAATGTTAATTTTACCTGTGATCCTCTGAATAAACCAGTACGGTTATTTTTTATAAAATCTAAAGTGGTCTACTTCGTCTTTGTGAGTTCCTGGTTTGAAAGAGCCGGAAGAAGCTTTGTAAATGAAACAGAGCTTATACCCTCAAAAAAAAAAACTCTTCTGGGGAGCGGCTAGCTTAGGCTGAGCTATGTCTAGGAGGCCCCGCACCGGCTACATAGGCCTAGCTAGCTGGGCTGTTTTCCATGGTGCGGAGCCACACTTCCGAATCTGCGAGCCTCACCTCTAATGCTGACATTTATTACAAGTACCATTATGCTAAAGGGGGCAGAGGAATAACTGAACATGCGACACTCCGAGCAAGAGAAAGAAGGACAGGAAGAGGGGGAAGCCATTGCTCTCAACTAAAATACACTAGCTATTAGCTTAGCTAGCTTCTAAAGTAGCCAGCTAAATTTGATAATTAGCAAGAGCTTCAGGTGTTTAGGTAGCATAGGCATGTGTCCTGCCCAAAAAATAGCTGATGTTCAGATAAACCTAGAAATGAGTGAGCTTAATCCATAAACAATCTGGTAGCAAGCACAACACTGTGCAGACACAGCAAACAGGAAGTGAATACGATTATCACAGGAAACACAAGTCCTTCAAATACCAAACCAATTTGAGATCATTGTCTCTTATATACCATCTAACAGACATTGGTCACAGTGTATAATTCGTTTTAAAATTACCTTTCCACAAATCTCTACTAAAAAGAGTAAACAATCATCCTTTTGATACCTATGGAGCATGTGAAGTTGTCATCACGCCATACTTGGGTAAATCCGCCATGTTGGGTGGATCATGCTAATTATCCATCATAGAGATATACACTACATACATATATAAGTTAATTTAAAGAATAAATAAATACAATCATATACAGTTACACACGGTAACGGATGCTTCAAACATCCACCATAGTGTTTAGTTTGAGGACAGAAATTGATTCATCTTCAGTGTTTGTGTCATCTGCCGATAGCCACTACCCAGCGTTAGCTCCCTAAACGAGAGCTAAGATCAGGACGCAGAGTCATTTTTAGTGTGTCACTCTCGTCGACGAGATCGCTAGGTCCACTACGACTTAGCTACAGTCAGCTAAGGTTTATCCACTCTGAATTACCACGCTCAGTAAAATGAGCTCTAAACGATTTAAGCAACTTTTAGCCAAACAAAATAAAAATGTAAACAGGTAAATATGACGCCCCCATCCCAGCATTCAACACGGCATGATGTACTTTCTTCTTCTTCTTCTTCTTATGGTGTTTATTGGCGGTATGACGTACCTTCACATTCTTTATTGTTTAAATCCTATTACAACCCCAGCAAATTTGACACTTGAAGCACCTGTCTCACTGCTCCAACCTCAAAACCTTATTACAGATAGGTGACAAATGAGAGTATAAGTTCTCTAAGTTCATAATTAACTTTTTGGGCAAAGACACATTCTGAAGCAAATGGTTTACATTCAGGCACGTCCAGAGATAGTTTAAACTCTAGTATTTTCAGTATAACAAGCAACATGAAACTGCATTATACAATAAAGATATAAAATTAGTTGTGTTCTATACTGAGACAAAACAATCTTGTATTTCTCATCAAATTCTAATGAATCTCACTGAAAGTCATTTTAAAACTGTGAAAAAAAACAAAGGCTGTGTTTCACCTCTGATACAATCAATACAAGGAGAGCTATGCAGTTTTCTGCATAATTTTAATGGGTAATTTTACTGCCCGTTTGTCCCATTTTTACTCATGGTGACTGGGGACTGTGGAGGGCACTGCAATGCACACTAAAAGTCATTAGAATAATGAAGAGTGCAGACTAAACTATTCTGTGTTAACCTTGCACCTTGCAGTTATATTAGGCGTGTGATACCATTAAGTGGTGGGTTGATATGAGCGAGAGCTGTGAGATGGGAAGTGAATGTAATGATGTGAGTCTGGAGCGTCTGAAGGCAGCGGCAGGTGGAGGTTGGAGGTGTTTTAATGACCTGTATCATCACAGCTAATGGGGCCATTTATTTTAGGATGAAAAAGATAATAACTGTGTTTGTCTTTGCGTTACATCAGTGAAGCCTGCCACTGTGCCACACTCCATCTTTTTCATTCCTCTGTCACTCACAGACACATAAACGTGCTCTCTCTCTCTCAAGTAGCAATTCAATAACTCACACCCATTTGTGAACTGCAGTATTAGACTTTGCACTTGATTTAAGTGTAGGTTAGCCAGGTTGCAGCATGACTAACTGTTTGCTTAATCGCTCTGCAATATCCATCACGATTTACAAAAAAGTTTGTGCAGGCAGCAGTTCAGAAATGGATTTTCATTTTTAGCTGCTGCTTTGGAACACAGGTGGCTAAGCCTGAATTATTGAGCTTGCTATGCCTACTGTACATGTTGTATAAATCCCAGTGTGTGTGATTGTGCAACTTTTCTTCACTCTAGAAGTGATGCTGTTGCCATAAGTACTTTTACATAAAGTGGAAGTGTCCACATCTTCGATATGACTGTGTTCATATTTGGTATTAATATGAGCTATATCAGTAAACAGGCTGCATTTTCCTTACTTTAGCTAAAGAGCAAATAGCTATACATCCATTCTACTGACTGCACTCAGTTGCTGTGAGCAGGGTTCAAACCTGTGCAGGGAGACCCTATTAGATTTTAAGTCCAACGCCTTCATCACTCAGCCATCACAGCTATGGGTTGTCGCTATTAAAGTCAAATCATAATGCAGCCACATGACTGAATCTCAGAAATAAGATTATTAGTGACATCTGAAGAGACAAGGCAAGTTTATGTAGCACATTTTCATACACAAAGGCAATTCAAAGTGCCTAACACAAAAAAGACAAAACATTAGAATGCAAATTTAAAAAAATAATTATATGAAGTCATTCCACTCTATGGAAGGATGTCCCCAGCTCTTATCATGTTCTGAGGAGTGAGGAGGCTGCCTGGTGGACCCATGAGCAGGATTCCATTCTTTACAGGAGTCTTTTATGGAGCAGCACATCCATCCATCCATCCATCTGTTATCTATAGCGCTTATTCCTGAACAGGGTCATGGAGGTGCAGGAGCCAATTCCAGCTGACACTGGGCAAGAGGTGGGGTGCATCCTGGACAGGTCACCAGTCTGTCATGTAGACAAACAACCACACACATTCACTCCTACGAGTAATTTAGAGTCGCAAATCAGTCTTGTAGGCCTACTGATACAATGCTCACAGAACTAGGAGTCAGTTGCATCAGCACATCCAAATCATTTTTCACATTGCCACTCACATTATATGTGATTTTTACTCACATTATACATGAGTGAAATGTTTGCACCATAGAGTCCTGTATTTAACCAGTCACACCACAGGGCCCGACCTTCAAAAAGTGTTACATTCTGAATA